ACCGCCGTGGTCTCTCTCTCTCCCATTCCCAATCGCAATTCAGGCCGCCATCAGCTCCAACCCATATGTTCTCCCCCAAATCAAGCTCCTTGGCACCGTCGAAGGTAATGCCATTCTTAATCCCAATCTCTATCAACACTTTTTTATTCGACCATTTGTTAATTAAAGTCTCCTAATCCCTAATTTGATTGCAGTATTAAGGTTGATGGAGAGCAAGACGGTGGCCGTAATTGGGCCACAGCTCCATGCTGTCATTAATCGCGAACGAGCTCCAAGTTTGGCTGCTCTCCTTCTCCGCCACCGACCCGACGCTCAACTCGCTCAGTTCCCCGTAATGACACAGAACGACCTCTATCAGATGGCCGCCATCGCCGCCATCGTGGACCACTGCGGCTTTCTCCCGGGTGGCCTTGGGGCTGAGCGGCACCTTGAACGAGATCTTGCATCTCAAAGCAAGAGTTCCGAAGATTAGAATTGGTTACATAGACCTGGTTCAGCTTTTACCGTTCAAACTGCCCTTCTTCCGGAGAGAGGTTTTACCATTAAATTCACAAATGCATGAATAAATGGGGCGCAACGTTTTGGCTATCGCATCTGAGTTGCATCGGCCGAATGGGGCCGTCGACCTAATTGAGCTTTATATTTGGGCCTGGTTTTTTGATTTTTTTGCAGGCCTCCTACAAGCACTGTCATCGAGCTCCGCCCCTACACCAGAACCCACCGTTGTCGGCAACACCAAATGATTTCTTCGTCGAACGAAATTGTAACCCAGCCCTTCCTCGGCAGCGACAGCTAGCGATTACGGTGTAATACTAATTAGGCCAGCTCACCCTTCTACCACTCCCTCAATACCTGTCCCAAATAACCGCTTACTATCTCCACCGGTGTATATCATTTTGGCCTTTCATTTAATATGTTAAATCACACGAGTCATGTAAAATACTACTTTCTATTTTTAAGTTAACTTTTTTGAAGTGAAGAGAGCTTGGTGGAGACGACAAGACGGATGCACCTCTTCGCCGCTTGTGAAATTTGGGGGAAAGAAAAAATAATTCAAGGAGGAGACGAACCAATGACAGAGAAAACAAATAATGGAAAGGGAAGAATATAAGTGTGTTTATAAAAAGAACGTAGAAACATAGTTGGAAAGTTTGGCCTAAATAAAATAATGAGTCATTTGAAAATAATATGAAAAGAGACATTTGCAAATGAATTAATAGAGTCATTTGGTAATTTCGTATGAAAGAAATTACTCATACATTTATTTCTTTAGCAAATGAATTGAAAACTAATTTTATTTTAAAATAAATTCACTTATAGAATTTACTGCCAAATGATTTCTTATGTTTGAAATATCATATTCAAATTTTTAGAAATAAATTGAATTGAATTCTCAAATTGTTTTTTGGAATACCCGTTTAGGATTGAATTAAGTTAAAAAAATTCAACTATACCCTTATACATTTTCACCAGAAACAACATTGCTATTGCTCATTGAACATCTATATCCTAAAAATGAAAGTATCAATATTATAATCCAAGCAATCCGAACAAGCAAAAACGTAGTTCGTAAAAGTTAGAAAACAATTTGAAGATCCATTCACTAGAAACATTAACCAGTAACCCATTCTCATTACCAAAGCGAGATTGATCTCGTAATGATATTATATTCGCTTAAGTAGTGACTGAGCGAGGAAGACCAAACACACAAATCTTTAGTATTGCCAAATTATATATAATAATTTATTTAATAATTAAGTATTGTTATGTTGTTTTATCATAATTAGTAAAATACTTGTAAATTTTATTTGGATATTTCATAATGAGCCTCAATTTTGCAGAGTTCAAAATTTAGAATTGATGATAAATTTCTTTATATTCCAAACACAAAAGGATTTAACTTCAAAAAAATTTCAATATAATTATGAAATTTATTTATACCGAATGTGTATAAAGAAAAATTGCAAGATTATCGTTTCTCATTTCAAACTCCATCTTTCTACCTCATTAATTGAACCCCACTATACTAATCAAAATCTGAACGGCTAAACGTCGTCCTAATTTTATTTTTATCTCTCTAATTTAAAATATAAAATTACTCAACTAATCTTAATTAATCATGTAAACAACAAAAGAAACAACTCTAAAATCCTTAATAATCCTCCATCTTCTTCTTCCAAAATATTATCGTCGGCCTCTTAACCACGTCCGTCGTCGGGGCTTACTCAATTCTTGATCAAAACACTAATTTTAACTCACCAAGAACAAGTACTTGATGCAAATAATGCTACCTCCCGAAGTCTAGATACTTGTGGGTTCTCGATGAAAATAAGGGGCTTTTATTCCGATCAACAAAACTCCAACTTCAATAGGGATGACAACGGGTCGGGTTGCGGGCGGATAGTGCATATTCGTTACTCTACGCAAAGTAGTTCGGATTTTATCTATACCTATATCCATACCCACACGAAAAACGGGTAGAAAATTAAAACCATGCCCATACTCGTTCGAGTTTCGGGTATCCGTGGTTATCAATGAATAATAATTTTTCTTGATAATTTCAACCAATATGTTAACAATAACATGTATACTCACATTACGTAAAAGGAAAAGTACGACAATAATTCACTAGAATGAAAAAAATAAAAATAACACAATTCCATGAAAATATTATATTTATATGCTAAATATAAAATATGTTAGAGAAAAACAATGATTATTTCTAGACAAAATACATATGCATGTGTATAATCGGGCAGGTTCGGGTTGGATAGTGAGAAAACCATGCCCACTCATTATCCGTAATATTTGGGTTCGGGTTTTACCATATCCACTAAAAGTCCTTTGGATTCGAGTTTTATTCTACCCTATTAAGTCGGCTTCGGACGGATATTTACGGTTACGAATATTTTTGCCATCTCTACACTTCAGCCTCTCCTTCAAATGTTCATCTATCCTCAGCTTATGCACCGCAGTCAGAGGCTGAGAAGGAGTACATGTTGAAAGTCCCATATGCTAGTGCAGTAGGTAGCTTGATGTACGCTATGGTATGCACTAGACCTGATCTTGCACATGCTGTTACTGTTGTCAGCAGGTTTATGATACAACCTGGGAAGGAGCATTGGCAGGCTGTGAATAGGATCTTCCGGTACCTTAAGGGTACACCTGATGTGGGGATTAGCTTCGAAAGTGATACATAGTGCTTGGTGTCTGGGTATTCTGACTCGGACTATGCTGGAGATGTTGACAAGAGGAGATAGTTGACCGGTTATGTATTCACTCTTGGGAGTTCTGTAGTGAGCTAGAAGGCAACTTTGCAGTCGGCGGTGACATTGTCTACTACTGAGGCAGAGTATATGGCGTTGACATAAGCTGCTAAGAAAGGAATATGGTTAAAGGGACTGGTTGGTGATCTGGGTCTACATCATGATCAGGCAGTGGTGTATTGCGACAGTTTGAGTGCAATATGCTTGGCCAAGGATCAAGTCCACCATGAGAGGACTAAGCACATCGACGTGAGGTATCATTTCTTGAGGACAGTGAAGAGGATTAAGGTGAAGAAGGTTGGCACCGCGGATAATCCTGCTAACATGTTCACGAAGCCAGCAAGTTCCAACACTGCTTGGACTTGCTGAATGTCTTGAGTGGGGGACTCCGCCCTGCGGGGCATTGATGGCGGGAGAGAGAGAGAGAGAGAGAGAAGGAGCAGAGTACATCAGAGATTTCAGAGGAAGAGGATTCAAGTCAAGGTGGAGATTTGTTGATGTGACTTGAATAGGACTATCAGCCGCTACGACTGGTAGTCGGGTGTCTCGCTGCCCGGTCAGCGAGTGGGGTCCAGGGGCAACGTTGCCCCCGGCTCACGGTGTATGGGCTCAATGTTATTTGGGTTCGGGTTCTGGGTCTGGTCTGTAATCGTTTCCTTTGCCAGATTGGATAGGTTTAGACCCACATGGAGAAGTACTATAAATACTTCTCATACTCCTCTGTAATCTGTAATCTCCTCGATATAGTGAAACTGTCTCTCTCTCGCCCGTGGACGTAGCTAACACACATCGTGTTTGTGAACCACGTAAATTGTGTGTCTGTATTTTTCGATTCTCACTTTCGTATTCTTGCTTTATCGATTCCGACGATTTCCTGATCTATAGCAGCGCATTTATAACATTAAGTGTGATTAATCGGCGCTAGGCGGCCTAGTGACTAAAGATAAATAATATATAATAAATGTATTAAAACTTCCCAAAATGACGACATCTTTATGTTCGACTAGTTCTTCCCAACCACATGTCCTTCACATGCCATGCCTCCTTCCTCTATCAGAATATAAAAAAATAGTCAACAAAGCTGTTTGAATTGTAACGACTTCTCCCATGCCCACTGCAATTCTCCTACTCTCTAGCTTTGGTCGACCACATGCTCTGTCCTATTATTCACCATTGTTTATTGCTAAATAACCAAAACCATATCGCCATATGTACTACTTCAGTTCTTCTCTCGTTAGTATCTAATTTGGGTTGACCCAACCTTCTTTCTTATTCTTCACCATCACCATAAGTAAAATTGTTATGATTAGTGAAAATGCCTAGACGTCCTAAGCACTAGGCAAGACCCCGAACCTACCCAACAATAGTAGTAATGTAATATACTATGTAATGGAAATGCAGGATTAAATGGTCAGATTGGGGGGATTTTAGTTTAGAGATCACTATTGAATACCTCACATAATTAAGGGGCCAAAAATAACTTGAGCTCTTTGTTATGAAAAGAAAATTGAAAATAGGCGGCTTAAAAAGAGCCGTATCCGCCACTCCCACTGACTCAAGAGCCCCCGCCCCTAATTTTCCTCCTCTCCTTCTTCCTTCCTAATTTCCCCACCGCCATTTTCTCTCCATAAATAATCTCTTCCAATTTCCCCAACCAAAATTCTCCGCCATTCCTTCCCTCCACCCGGGCTGCCTCAAGGCTACTTCAGTAATCAACCAACCCACCGGCAAACCATGGAAGTGGGGGTGGTAATGCCGGTTCCGGCACCGGCCTCGACGGAATTCAACTTCGATAGCTCCTGCTCTTCCCCTTACATCACCGCTCCTTCCAGCCCTCAGCGTTTCGGCACCAACTTCTTCTTCAGCGCCCCCACCAATCCCAACGCCAAATCCTTCCTCCGCGACATCGACGATTCCATGGCCCTCTCCTTCGCCGCCGCCGCCGCGGCCGCTGACTCCTCCTCCTCCGCCATTCCGTTCTAGTGGGAAGAAAAGCCCGGGACACCCAAGCGAGCCAGTATCCGAGCTAAGAGCACCGAATTTTTTGATGACGATTACGATTTTGAATTCGATTTTAGCGGTCAATTGGCCAGGAGCTCGTTATCGCCGCCGACGAGCTCTTTGACGGAGGTAAGATCCGGCCGTTGAAACCCCCACCCGGGTACGATTCGGGAGTCGCATCCTCCGCCAATTCTCCCCGGTCCCCAAGCGAGATGCCAAGGCAGGGCTGGACCAACGGGGAAGAGAACGGAGAGTGATCGGATCTAATTCCAATTTCGACTCTGTTCCCGGTCGCCGGGGGAGCAGCAGGTCGCTGTCGCCGATGCGAATCGCCGACATAATGTTGGAGCAGGATGACTACAGCTCCGAATTCAACCCGGCTTCGAGAATCTTTGGCGCAGCGTCTTCGACTGGGCCCGTCGCCGTCGCCGGAGGAGAGAAGCAGTCCTATGCGGCGACTTTTCTGTCGGCGATTTCGTTCTCCAAGGGGCGGTACAAGAAATGGAAGCTGAGGGACTTCCTTTTGTTCAGAAGCGCGTCGGAAGGGAGGGCGACAAGGGTGGAGCAGTTGGCGGCGGCGAAATACGCGGTGCTGTCGAGGAGGGAATCGCTGTAGTCGTCTCCGGCGGCGGCAGAGGATGCGAAGACTTGGAGCTTCCGATCGACGGAGAGCTTTGGGAGCTCGCGGCTGTTGAGAGGCGGGCAGGTGGTGTCGACGCACGAGATGCATTACACAATGAACAGAGCGGCGGCAGAGGAGATGAAGCGGAAGACGTTTCTGCCGTATAAACAGGGGCTGTTGGGCTGCCTGGGATTCAATCCGGCGACGGTTCCTGACATCTCCAGAGGTATTGGGTCTTTGACACGTGGACAATAGGAGTATTATTTTTTCCTTCCTTTCCAATTTCTGGAATTACAAGTCGGTTACTACTTGTGATCGGTGATTAATGAGATAGTACTGTATAAACATATATGAAACCCATTTATAAGTTTGTTTCTTAATGGGAGATTGAGAGTCTATTTCTTATGTCAATCAATGAGATATGTTGAATGATATCTCTATCCGTGTCTGAAAAATACGTGAGAATATAGCGACAGTTTGATGAGTTGCTAGTCGGATAGGATACGGTGACTACCCTCAAAAAGGTTTGATTTTTGACACTCTCTTTCTTATTGGTCCATTTTTCCTCAATCATTTGATAAGTATGAATGAAAGTTGTAGAATGTAACACTTACATTAAATACACATTGGGAATTAAATACCTCACATTAACTACTTGTTTTTTTCAAATTTAAACCTACACTAAACTCAATTCTCTCTCCAAAAAAGCAAATAATCCCTCTTCTCTCCTCCCTCTCATCATGCTTCCGCCGTTATGATTTTTCGATTTTTGATTTTTCAGATATGACTTTTCGATTTTTCAGTTATAATTTTTGTATCACTGCACTGATATTTGTACCACTACACTTAAACTCATATATGATATTTTGTACCAGTGTACTAGTAGAGATACCACTACACTGGTAGCGATATCAGTGCACCGGTACAAATATCATATCTGAGTTTAAATGCAGTGGTACAAATATCAGTGAAGTGGTACAATGTATCACTGCACTGATACTTTTTTTAATGTAACGATACATTTTTGTGGGTGGCCGGAGGAAGTCTATCGGCGAGATTTCACCGGAAAAGTTTGGCGGTCGGAGGCTGCTGGAAAAAGGATGAATGAGAGATAAGGAGAGAGAATTGTATTTAATGTAGGTTTAAATAAAAAAAACAAATAATTAATATGGTGCATTTAATTCCCTATGTGTATTTAATATGAGTGTTAAAATATATAGATTGCTAATACCAAGAGGTGTCATTTTTCCAACCCCTTTATGGGGTTAGCATGCTAACCGATCCCTATGGAGTAAAAAAGGCTTTATTTACGATTTTGTCTAAGGATCGTTGCAATGAAGAGATTGATCTCGTTTTTGTTATTTTGGAAATAACAATTTGGTGTTATAACTTTTCACATGAAAGTTCCGCAAGAGAAATAAGTGCTTCATGCGGGTTCATACTTCTTTATAGAAGACGGATGAGCTGGTTAGGCCATGGATTGGTTGGGTCAACATCGGTAAATTGAGTCTTGCTATTAGGAGTCCGGATTCTGTGATTAAGGTGTCATTTGATTAAGTCTCTCCCGGTCTTTAGATTTGGACATAGCAATCTGACGGTTAAAAAGTGGGAAGGACTATTTAATCAATGACAAGGATATTTTGGGTATTATGGAAAATTATGAAGTATACAAACCGGACTTACAATCAGTACAAACCATACAAACATACGAACAGTACAAACTACAACGACAAAACATACAAACAAATTTACAAACATTACAGACGTATGAACTGTACAAACAATACAAACTAGATTGACAACACTTTGGAGGCTCAATCCCTATATAGAGGGCTCAATCCCAAAGTCAACCCGGTTGTTTTTTAGACATACAAACATTACGAACACGGTGGACAAAAATAACAAACTAGACCGACAATTCATACAAACTGGAAAAACACTCGGGTTGACTTTGGAAGCTCCATTCCTATATAGAGGAGTTACATCCAAAAGTCAACCAGGTTATTTTTTGGACATAAAAACATTATGGCTAATACCACTGGGAAACCCGAACTATTAACTTTGTGTCATTTGTGTCCTAACGTATTCGATATGACATTGTGGCTAATACCACTGGGAAACCCGAACTATTAACTTTGTGTCATTTGTGTCCTAACGTATTCGATATGACATTTGTGTCCTAAGCTATTTTTTCGTTAGAGTTAACTAGCGTTGACTGTTAGTTTTTAACAGAAAGTCTAGTTAGCGCTTATGTGGCATCTGATGTGGAACTTTTATTATTATTTATTTATTTTTCCTATTGCTTATAAAATAATTAAAAATGAACACAATTGGGAAATTGAAAGCCACTGCCTCCGCCACCACCAAAATCCTCCTCCTCTGCGATAAGTCCTCTCCTCTTCTTCTCGAGCCGCCAGGAACTCCGGTCAGCTCTCCCCTTCGCTGCCTCCCCACCTCCGCTCCCACCCATCGCCAAATACTATTGACCGAAGGCCAAATTGACGCCTCCACAAATCTGATTCTCTCCACGCATCCAAAATCGACTAGGAATGGCAATGGGGCAGGTCCGGGGCGGGTTTCTTGGTACCCAGACCCGCCCCGTGGTAGGTCGGGTCTAGGTCGGGTAATTTATCACGGGTCACGGGTCGGGGCAGGTCGACCCAATGAGTATGCAATTTATATGAAAAATATTAGAAATATTCGTTGTTTTTATTATAAGACCAAGGAAACAAACAATATTATGAGAAATATAGTTAAATTATTGGAGAAATTGAGGTTTTCACTAATTTACGTCTTTATTGTAGCTAAGATTTGATGTAATAAAAGAGAAATCCTAGTACTTTGACTAAAATTACGTGTAATTTAGGCAAGAACGGGTCGAGAATAGGTCGGGTCAGGACAGGTCGGGTCGATGAGAGTACCCATGCCCGCCCCATCCCGCCTACGGGGCGGGTCAGACCCGCCCAAAACAGGTCAAACAGGTCGGGTAAAACGGGTCAGGTCAAAATTGCCATCCCTAAAATCGACGCCTCCACTGATCTTATCCTCTCCTCGCATCCCTAATCGATTACCACATCCCACCTAATCACTCCAATCACTCCAATCGAGGCGATTCTTGTTCCTTCGCTGGGCGATTTTACCATCTTCTTCACCCATCGTCGCCGATCCATTCCCCACCCACCACCACCTGTGCTAGATCTTTCCCCCACCGCCGCTGGTTTCGTTCTCTCTCTCTGCTACACTTGCCCCCGCCTCCAGTCTTGAGTCGCCGCAAACCTCCCACCTCCGCATCTCACTCAAATGGCTCCCTGACCACCTCATTTGTTATGACCGGCGGCAATCAAAAGGGTTTCCCCAATCAGCTCTCCCTATCTCACCCTGCTTTCTTCCCCGGAAGTTGCTTTCAGTTTGGGCTAAGCAGAATAGGCAGATTTGCTTGCAGTTGGGAGGATTTGCTTTGTCTCTCGTTCAATTTCACTTCGAAAAGCAAAAAAGGCAGATTCGCTTGCAATTGGGAGGAAGAGATATGGTCGGCGATGGCGAATTCTGAACTAACTGCAGCTGCTTCTTCATTGACAGAGACCCACCCACCAGCTGCTTCTTCGATTGACAGAGGAACCCCCGAGCCAGTCCCCTTCTCCGCAATCTTCTCCGTCGCTCGAAATCAGGCTAGAAGCGGAAAATGGAAGGGGCAAATTGACGGGATGAAGATATGAGGATATGTGGCTGAAAATCATTTTAATTGTAAATTTCAATTGTTAAAATTTTTATTTTTTAATTTGTATCTTGTATTTTAATTGTTAATTTTTATTTTAAAATAACAACCTGATGTGGCAGCAGACGTGGCGCTTACGTGGCTGCCACATATGTCCCATGTAATCAACAGTCAACATTTTATGGTTGACCGTTTGGTCAACCGTTATCTATAACAACGAAATTGTCAGGACGTAAATGACACACAACTATCATACGTCATGACACAAATGTCATATCGAATACTTTAGGACACAAATGACACATAATTAACAGTTCGGGTTTCCTAGTGGTATTAGCCCAAAAAATTACTAATATGGTTGACAAAAATAATAAACATGGTGCACAAAAATAACAAAGTTTACAAACATTACTAACATGGTTGGCAAAAATAATAAATATGGTGCACAAAAATAACAAAGTTTACAAACATTACAAAAGAAACCGACAAACATTAAAGAATAACAAAGCTTACAAACATTACAAAATAAACCGACAAACAATATAAAGCATACTAACGATACAAAACGTCACTAAAAAATGACAAAGAAGAATGATAAACAATACAAACGGAATTGATACAAACATTACAAAATATGTCAACAAACATGACAAATCTAACACTGTCGTCGGGAAATCCTTCTCCTTCGTCAATTGTCATCGGAAAAGTTTCCTCCGGTCAGAAAAAATCTCTCTCTGGGTACCAAAAATCCCCACCACAAGACCCATTTTTGCCCACGGCCCACGGCGGAGGCACATTCCCGGAAAGAGATGTTGGGGAGGGGAAAAAATCCACCATAAGAAATCCCAGGCGGTCGGCGGGGTTTCCGGAAAACAGGCAATGGGGAGAGCGTTGGAGGGATAGCAGGTTCAACCCACTTTTTTTAATTTTAATTGTGAAATAAATAATCTATTGTAATTACCATTTTGTCTTTCATTAAATGAGATTAATATGAGCCACTGAATTTTAATGAGGTGGAAGGCTGGAGATTCACTTAGTCATGTGACTAAGTGACCTATTGTCACCTCATCTTAGCCCTTGCTAATAGGAAAGACGGAGACTTCCATTTCCTCCACTTTTGGTTTTTTGAGCGAATGAGACATGATCAGCCTGTACGTATAACATGGTAGGGCAACTAGGCTTAAACTAATTTTAGGATAATATTAAGTTAGCTAATTTGGATGAATTTAGATCTTTATAATATAGTAAAATCAATATAGAATTATAGATCATTGATTACCAAAATTGTGGTAGCGTTTTTGCTCATCACTTATTCACTTCTTACAATTGTTACGTAAAATAGACATTTATTATATAAAAGTTACAGAATGACAATGGTTCTTACGTAATAGTTAAATGAAAAGTGTTACGTAAGATTTCCGTAATGGTTGAACATTTTACTTGACACAAGGTTAATTTTCATTACGTAAAAGGATCATCCATTACGTAAGCCTTTCGTAATGACACTTTACAGTTGTAACGTAAAATACACATCCAATACGTAGATTTTTTTTTGGAGAAATTTTATGTAAATGTTACGGGAAGATAGCTATTTCTTACGTAACAGTTAAACCAGAAGCGTTATGTAATGCTTCCATAATTAAGACTTAGCACTTTACATGACACAAGGTTAATACTTGATTATCATTACGTAAGACACCCTTAATAACACTTTACAACTGTCACGTAAATAGACTTTCATTATGTAAAGGTTTCGGAACGATAGTTATTTTTTATGTAATAGTTAAATCAGAATCGTTATGTAAGACTTCCATAATGACTTAGCCCTTTATAGAATGAGAGGTTAACATTAATTGCGTAAAATGATCGTTCAAAATGTGAGACTTCTGTTTTTCCTTTTTTCAACTATTACTTAAGATAAACATACCTCACGTAACCATTACGTAATGCATATTATGTTTTACATAATGCGACCTGTGAAATCTGTTATAACAGGTAAAAAAATCTAGTTAGCTTACTTCAAAGTATCGTAGAAAATCCCTTAAATTATACTTGCTATAATGGAAATCAAGCATATATTCATATGAACAAAACTGCTCTTGTTGAATACATTAATGTCCAATCCAAATCCATTAACTCGACCAGTTATTACGAGACAATCCACGTACCACATCGGAAATAGAAGGGAAGGAATCCTTGTATATTAGTGTCCACCTAGCCCAATTAGTACGAGGCCTTTTGGAGAGGACACCCAAAATAAAATCGTGCGGGCTTGGCCCAAAGGGGACAATATCATACTAATTGATGAGAGATCGGGTTTCGACAAGTGGTATCAGAGTCTGGTTCGGTGCAGGGCGGTGGATGTCAGTTTGATGGACCCTCATTTGATGACCTCGGGATTTGGGATCTGCTTCTGGTTTGGTGGGTCCAAGAGAGATCCACGTTTATTTGGCGGATCAAGAGAGGTCTGTGTAACACCCTACCCTATACGTTTCGCCTGATCATATTTTTCATACAATTGCAGCGGAATTAATCTCGGGTGTTACATTAATTATCAAAATTTACCCAAATAAAATTTTGACATGAATTACTCGCGTAATGGGCTAACAGTTCTTGCAACTTATCCTGCAAAATAATTCATCACAAACATATATACTCACAACCATATGCATTGGCTTTTCTTAGCCATAGTCACACTTTTCATACTCCCCAACTGCATACCATACTTATACATACCATAATCGTCACAACTTACACAGTTACACAACATATACACATATCATCAACTTTCCACACCTGTGGATATCTCACAATACATCAGAAGCTAGTATGCACATGAAAAACGTTCTCAAAATATTTTTTACAAAAAGGTGTGGATCACTGGCCAAAATCCCAAGTAGTCGTCCAAGCACAGAATAGTTGAAGACCATACATCATCTTGGCTTCAACTCTAGCTCCTCTCCCACCTAACACTTATCTATTGCTGCTGCTGATGATCTGCTTACACATAGCATAAGCAGAGAAGAAGAATAAAAGAGGGCCAGCTCATGGCTGAGTGAGACAATCATTGCATCGTAAGTTCGTAACAGAGCATACCCCTACCATACATCTAGCAAACAAGCCAAAGCACTATGATCAGACCTCAGTCATCCGACACCTCAGTAGGCAAAAGACTCAACCATCTTGACTTATGCATATGCATCTTATCATGTTTTCCTTATAGGCGCCTGGCTACTCCCATGCTAATAACTCTCCCGGGAAACATACCCCACATCCCGTCAGATGTAGTCATACATACCCCAACATCCCATCGGGTGTGGTCATACATACCCCACACCACTATGGGTGTAGTCATACCCCGACATCGCTCTGGGTGTGGTCATATCTCGTAAGAAATCTTCAGTCACCACCACATGAGAGGTGTGACTATCATACATATCATAATAGAGTAATAGCATAGGGAGCCCTAATTACTATGTAGTTAACCATGAGACCAAAGTACTCTTACTTGATATCCTTATACATGATCCATATCTCATCTTGCTTAATCATAATTCGTTACTTGCACATGTACTTGACCTGACCATAATTGGCTCAACATAGGTAAACCAGGAGTCGTATAGTTGCACTTCCTCGGGATAAACCCTCGTGCAAGTCATCCTCCTTAAAACATCATAATATCACCTTGGATATATATTTATCCACTTGTGAGTCCAAATGCAACAATAATGAAAAATCATACTCAAACACCTTATCAAACCATCATAAGGCATATCCACAATTAAACCCACATCTGGCAACACATATGCAATCATCAACATAAACACGGTCCATATCGATTAGGGAAAGTCAATAATATCATACATCAGTTCATGATTCATCATATAGCAGGAAGGTCCATACACCCCTAATCATGACATTCTAGTTCACCTAGATCAATTCTAGGCATAAGTAAAATTATCTGCTCTCTCTCCCCTGTGCGCCCTGTTTCTCAATCGTTGCTCTCGTTACAGAAAAGGAAAAGAATGGAAGAAAGAGACAAAGATGGGAATTAAATGGACCGGTGGGGGGAAGGTTTATATATATGCTGGTAATTAATACGTATACTTATCCGATCGATCGGTAATCCGATTTTCGTCGAAATACTGCCAAAATGATCGATTTTAAATCGTGAAATTTTCTAGTGACAGTAATACGATTTTAGCTAAAACGGGATGTTACATTCTACGTCTGTCTAGGAAATCAAATTTGATCTACATCTGGTCTGGAGGATCAAAGAGAGTTCCGCGTTTGGGAAAATCCTTGTATCGAGAAGCCCATCGACACAAGGTGTCTGGCGGATCAAGATAATCGCTGAGGAGAAGACTTGAAGTTCGTGGTCTTGTCTTGAGGGGAGGATTATTATGAGACAATCCAAGTACCACATCGAAAATACAAGGGAAGGAACTCATGTATATTAGTATCCACCTAACGCAATTAATACAGGACCTTTTGGGGAGGATACCCGACAAACTGAATCCGTGCGGATTTGGTCCAAAGCGGACAATATCGTACTAATTGAGCGACTCAATTTTCACAAGTCAATATAAACCCTATATACAAGATACAATTCAGAACTAGCAACTAATCAAATTGTCCTTATACTATTTTTCAGACAATATTTTTCTAAATATCATTGACTGAGATATAATTCAACACATCCCATTGATTGACGTTAAAAATGGACTCAAAAGGAACAAATTTAGAAGCCAAGCTTTTTCTTGGTGGATTCATCTTTTGCTACACACTTAAGGGATTTACTAATATGTATATAATTTATACATACCATCTCATTATCACCGAATTTCCTACCATGCTTGATATAAAAATAACTGCTATAGCATATTTCACATGTTGTATTACGTAAAATACAACAGACATTATGTATTGGTTACGTGACATATGTTTATCTTACGTAACATTTATAAAAATCAATTACGGAAGCCTTACGTAATTCACAACCATTTTACATAGTGAATGTTTACCTCGCTTTTCATGAAGTGTTAAGTCATTACGGAAGTCTTACATAACACCTCAGATTTAACGCTTACGTAAGAAATAATTATTGCTCTTTTACCTTTGCGCAATGGAAGTCTATTTTACGTGACAGTTATAAAGTGTTATTACGGAAGTCTTACGTAAT